TGCAAGGTGTTATAGAGAAGGGGAGAAATAGAGAGAAAATGAGGCTACAACAGATCTGACTTGTGTGAGAAAGATCGCGGAGAGAACAGGCGAAAGGCAAGGTGGCTTTGCTTGTGTGCATCTGAGCCAGAAGGAAAAAAGTAACGACCAATTGAACTTCTCGAGGAAGAAGGACGTGCGTGCGGCAGTTCTGTTGAAGATGAAACATTGATCTGTGCACACGATGTTTGCTTAAGGCGATCCAACGATAAGAATCTACATGCGGGAGGGAGACTAAGCAGATCTAGTCACACACAGTGATTATGTGGCAGTTATCGGTCAGGTAGCAGCAACATGTGGCGGTTTCAAAAGGCGACATGTGTACACTCCGGTGACAATGTGTGGAGGCATGCATTAGCGCGATTTCATGGTAGTTACGCAGTGAGTTTCAAAATCCTAAAACTTTAAACATGATTTGACTAGATTGAATTCTACATGATTTAAATTAATCCAGCAGAATTAATTTGATCGATAGGTCAAGTAGATAGTTTAAAATTAAATTAATTATTAGCATGAATGTTTGAAGAATTGAACGTTGAGTTCACCATTGACCCAAAGCAAAATTCACTCCAATAGGTTAAATTTGACATTCGAGGACCCTTCTGTGAAGTAGATCTACAAGAGAAAATTAGGTAAGTGTGTTCGTACCCTCAAATGTAGATTAATTTCATTTAAAGGATTAAATAACGGTATCTAAAAAAATATGTACTTTTTATCTTAATTAACAAATTGGTGCAGGATGTCGATGGGACCTTCCACTTTAGTTTATAAATTCTTTTAATGTTTTGTTAAAATTAGTCTTTATATTTTCTCTGTGTTGTTATGCAATTTTCATAAGGTTTTTGTGTATCATTTTATCGCTTCATTATATTTTAAATTAAATTAGGAATGGATGTTAAAAGGAGATGTGTTGAGAAGAAAATAAATTTACAATTTAATTAGAGTTATGAGTAAATATGATAATGAAAGTTAAGTATGAATTAAGAGATTTAAATATGCTTAGTGAATACAGTCAGAAATATTTGAGTAAATAGTAGATTTGAATTGGATTAGAGATACCGAAAATAAAGAAGATCAAGTTAGGAAAGGCAAAACAACAAGTTAGTAGTAAACCGTAGGAGTAAATTGATCCTAGAGTAGCAACCTTAATAAAGAAGTAATAGAAGTGAAAAAGAATCCTAAAAGACTTAAAAATTTATTTAACCAGTATTAAGGGGGGGAGTGTGTGTGTGTAGCTAGTTTGGTAAGAGAAGTGTGGTGAACCCTACCCATAGATATATCCTCAGCCAGATGTGGTTGAGAAGTCTCGTACATATCCATTCCGTATTCGAGTGTATGTGGAAAGTGATAAGTGATGCTTAATGCATAACCATTCCATATTCGGGTGCATTAGGAAAGTGAAAGTGATGAAGTGATGTGATATATCAACGTGGTAGATGAGATCCTTAGTACTCTCACTGATGTCAGTGAAAATGGTATCGCGCGATGAAACTATTTGTTAATAAAATGAAAAAATGAATAAAAATGAACCTAGAACTAAGTATCAAGAATACGGCATAGAATATAGTAGAGATGTAATGTTCAGTGAAGTGTTTAGGCCTTTAAAGGGCAAATGATAAGAATAATTGCAATATGATGTAATGACATATTGTGTCATAATGAGTAAAGAATGGATCATAATATGTGAATAATGTAAACAAGAAATTAGTGAGGAATTACAATGTGTTGAAACCATATAGATAGGGAAAAGTAAATTGGAATTATAATTGTTTGTTTTGGAAGAAATTCGAAATAAATGGTAATGAATTCATGAATAAGATAACAAATAGATCTAACTGATAAGTAAAATCTCCACATCATATATTTTTAAAGAAAGAATGAAAAATACTTACAAATCTCTCTTATAAGATGTTTTATGTTTTATACAAACTTAGATAAGGTTATTCTATCATTTGATAGTACTTACCCACTTACTGAACTCATTAGCTTACCTTACTTATTATTCATTTTTTTTAGATCAAGACACCCAAGATTCCACTCCTGAGTAGTGAAAGAGAATCCTACTAGATCTATTTATCTTATTTTAGTAAGATTTATAATTATTTATTTTGTTTATTGCAAGTATTTATTTCGGATGTTAGACCAACCTCATGGATTTTAAATATTTAATTTAAAGAGACAAGGGATATAATTTCTTATTTAAATTGCTGCACGAGGCTACGTTGTTAGATTCTTTCATCATTTTATAGTATGTATACAATCAGGACTCTATATGAGGGTTTGAGTTGTTACAAGTAGGATAAGAATATACAAAGACGAAAATTTTTTAAAATTCTAAATTTAACTCTTGAAAAAGATATGATTTTTGCTTTTGATTTCTTCCATAATTTTGTTAAAAAACAAACAAATAATAAACATTTACATTTTTCTAATAGTAGATAGGTAAGGAGAAACACTTCTTAAATATTTCAGATTTAGCTCAAGGAGAAGTGAAAAATCTTTGCACTTGATTTTCAAACATTTTTTCACAATATCACTGAGAAAATATCATTAGTAAAATAAATATGCCATGTGTTGTTTTATAAAGTTGTCATAAAAAAAGTCAAATTTAAGCATCAAATACTCCAAAAAAAGTTGTCATAAAAACTGCAGTTGCAAGTGTGATATGTGGAAGTACCACATATATATCACTTCTATACATGTATTAAATACTTCATGTATAGAAATTGTATGATACATTTCGACACATCAAATGCTTTAAGGAACTCTCTGTCGGCAAAGAATTTATCAAGATGTTTGGTACTTTTGCATTTGATTAAAAATATATGTCTATTATATGTATATGCATACATTATAAATATATTATTTCTTATATTATTTTATGCATATAGTTTTAATTTTTAGAGAACAATGAAAAGGTAATTAAGCAAATTAATTAGATAAAAAATGAAAAATGTGAAAAGTTAAAATTTATGATGCTTATATCTATCTCTCTCCTAAAATACTTTAAAAACCTCATGGTTACCAAATTTTTGTGTTATCAAACTCAAATATGAGTAAAGATGGTTAAAACTCCTTATAAGTACTTAATAACAATCTTAAATAGTCTGTTTATCAAAGCAAGTGCTGCTACTTTCATAATATACGTGATAACACGAAAATAAATAAATAAATTACTAAAAATTCAAACAATAATATCTCTTGCATATTATTTCTTAGTTGTATTCTCATAAGACCTACTAACCTTATAAATGCTAGGAATTGATAAAAAATAAAATGTTATCATCTACATTAACATATATAAAAATTATTTACCTATTACAGTTGATAGATAATAGAAATCGTGTGGATAAAATTTTTAGTGGATATAAAAAATATTTGGTGAATAAAATCCCTAATAGATAATAAAAATCAGTTAAACATAAAAAATCAAATGGATAAAATATTTTGGAGAGAGAAGACAAAATGTTTGGCACGTAAAATACATCATTTGGACATAATGCCTAATGAATAGAAAATAATTTTCAGGATACTTGCTGGATAGAAAAAAATGGATGGACAAAACACTTATTTACTAAAAATTACTATATGAAAATAACATTTAAAGGATATAGAATACTTAATGGATATCACACTGGTGGACATAGAATCATAGATAGGAGAATGCTTGGTGTAAAAAAAGTAGACAAAATACTTGGCGGACATAAGGCATTTGCTTAACAAAATGCATGGTGGATGGAAACATCTTGTGGACAGAGCTCCATGTTAATAGGAATTATTAATAGACAAAATTTCTAGTGAACATATAAGACAACTCTTATTACTTATACAAGCCATCTATGTATGTTATTTGTTACGTGTAAAATTTAATATATACTATTCTATAACTATAGCATTATCTATGTGCTTTTGGTATATATTGATATGATCTAGTATTGATTATTTTACTAATATTATTTTGCCACATTATACTTGTATATATAGATATAATTTGTGCCAAATTAAATTCTAAGACTATATTATTATTTCTTCTCAAAACAAATCCATACCTAAAAGGACAAACATTCTTATCAACCAGCAATCTTGAATAAGATTTTAAGAAATCTGGAAAGGATTACATGAATATTCTGGTAAAGGAATGAAATCTAGAAAATAATTAATGCCTGCAGGTTATGAAGGTATTTTAAGATATCTATTCCATGTAAACCAGCTAATTAATCCTAGGGAGAAACTTAAAAGAAAAAGAAAATTCCACCCATAAATTGGACGAATCAGTAGAGATTAAATGAAAACATATTAGGAAAATAAGAATAAATTGGATCCCAAAAATTCATAATAAACAAAAAATCAATACAATAAAACTATAGGGATTGTGGATCCACACTCACTTTATCAAATTCTTCTATAAGAAAAGAAATATATATATATATATTTTTTATCTACAAGAGCAAATATAATAGGTAACAATGCATACATGCTTTTATTTGTAAATTTCGAAATTAAAATCTCCAATATATATCACCCCAAATGTAAGCAAATGTACCCTTAATATTCCTAATTAATAATTGAATATTTTTGTTTCAAATATTAATAGAGTGATATTTTACCAATGAAAAAAAATTCTCTCAAATTTTGACTCCAATACACTCAAAAGATTTATGAAAATTATAAATATATATATATATGTACATGTAAATGTATATACTAATCAAACAAGTCGGCCGGCAAGTCTCTATTTATTAGTTAATATTTCATATTTTTACCCCACAAAAAAAAAAAATCAGTAAGCGAAAATTCTGAGTAAAGTAATCATTAATGATGTCATGTTTGACCTTCGAGAAAGATTCATATTTAATTTTTTAATGCGTATCTTGAAAGTTAATTAGGACGTTTTCTAGATCTCTTTTTTCTCTCTCTCTCTCTCTCTCTCTATATATATATATATTTATCTATATATTCACGAGAGATCATGGCTAGGTACATATAAATACACACACATATATAGGGGAGAAAAAGGAAGAGAAATAGGGCGTAGAAAATGGGAAAGAGCAAGGTTTTGGTGGTCGGTGGAACAGGGTATATTGGGAGGAGAATTGTGGAGGCTAGTCTTAAGCAAGGCCATCCTACTTACGTGTTACAGAGACCGGAGATTGGACTTGACATGGACAAGATACAGTTACTTCTCTCCTTTAAAAAACAAGGGGCTCATCTTCTCCGAGCTTCTTTCTCCGATTACCACAGCCTCGTCGATGCAGTTAAACATGTGGACGTGGTCATTTCAGCCATGTCCGGTGTCCACTTTAGGTCTCACAACCTCTTGCTTCAGCTCAAGCTTGTTGAAGCCATCAAAGAAGCAGGAAACATTAAAGTATATCTATCTACGTATTTATCCTTTTCGTCTGCTTTAATTTATCAAATTATAAATTATTTGAATTTTTTTAAAAGAAGAAAACTTAATTTTTTATTAATTTTGTTTATTTAAAAATTAATAATTTAAAATATTTTTAAATAAACTTACATCAAAATTAAATTTTTTAAAAATAAATTATCTATACTTAAAAAATAAATATGATATCTTAAAAATAAATATAAATATAATTTAATTAAAATATAATTTTTATTTAAATTTAAAATAATAAATAAAATAAATTATAATTTTTATATTAAATTTTAAAATAAATAAAAATATATATTATATTAATTGCAGCAGTTCTTGCCATCGGAGTTCGGCATAAACCCAGCTCGAATGGGACATGCACTTGAACCAGGACGAGTAACTTTCGACGAGAAGATGGTAGTGAGAAAAGCAATAGAGGAGGCCAAAATCCCTTTCACTTATGTTATTGCTAATTGTTTTGCTGCTTACTTTGCTGCAAATCTCTCCCAAATGGGAATCCTTTTCCCTCCAACCGATACTGTCAACATTTACGGAGATGGAAATGTCAAAGGTACATATATACATATATATGTAGATATATAAATATATGATCTGTAATACTTTAATCAATTAGTTTTGAATAAGTGATTACGTACCAGAGTTAGACACTACGTTGTAGTAAAAAGATATATTTAACTATATATATTTATAATGGGGTAGTTACTGTGTTTTTATGTATATATATATATATATACTTACAGCTGTGTATATGGACGAGAATGATATCGCCACGTACACCATTAAAGCAGTAGATGATCCTCGGACATTAAATAAAACGCTGTACGCCAGGCCACCAGATAATATTTTGTCTCAACGAGAGCTTGTTCAGAAATGGGAGAAACTTACGGGGAAACAACTACAGAAGATCAGTGTCTCTGAACAAGACTTCCTTGCTTCCATGAAGGGTTATATATATAATACTCAGTTCACTTTCTTTTATATTTATTATTATTAGATATGTTAAATTAGAATATAAATTGCAATTGGTGCAGGTATGGACTTTGTGGGCCAGGTGGGAGTAGGGCATTTCTATCATATTTTCTATGAAGGGTGTTTGACAAATTTTGAAATAGGAGAAAATGAGGAAGAGGCATCAAATCTTTACCCTGAAGTCAAATATACCCGCATGGATGATTTCTTGAAAGTTTATCTCTGATGATCATTTATATTTCTTCTATTTTCTCTTTCTTCTAATATATATGATGTAATCGTCCATGCTATATTTCTGTATGTCCTATCCAAATAACATAAATGAAAAAGAACTTTTTATAATTATGAACAAAATAATAAAAAAAAATTAATAATCCATGGTATATTTCAGGACAAAATATTGTGATACCCTTTTAACTAAACCACAACGTTGACAATCTAAAACAATGAACTTAAGTGGATAAGTATTCCCAAGCCGCTGAACAATTCTTAAAATATAACCAACATCCATAATCCTTAAGTATTCCAAGGAAAAAAGTAAATTACCAAGTGTGAAGCCTAATGCTACCAAAAGGAACTTTAGCCCTAGCCTTTATAATAAACAAAATCTTAAAAATATAAGTTGAATACTAAAAGTTAGTAGTAACTCAAGTGTACTCCTTTCAATCTAGGAGCATATACCTGTCAAATCTATTGAAAATAAATTTATATTTAACTAATAAAATAATATTATAATAGTGGTAAGAATGGTCAAATCCACGGAAAATTAGAAATTAATTTTTTTTCTTTATCAGTAAATAAAAAGCAAACAAAAAGAACGTTTTTATAAATTCAACATCAACACAAAATATGAAATAAGAAATAAATAAAGTAATATAAACCGAACTCTTGAGTTCAAGTTAGAAACTAAATCAATTATAAAAAAGATTTTTAGTTGACAAAATCACTAACTCCAGTAACGTAGTTGATCATAAATACAAAGATTCGTTTTACCCAACATATGATAAATCAGTTATAGTTGTCGGAAACATTCTGACAACCAATTATTTCTTATTCTTAAACTAACTAAGAAACGTATAACATCCCGCCTATCACTATGATAAAATGATTTGGAAACTCTATTCATTTGGGTCTTTGACCGTCTTAAATTTAAATTAATTTATTATGTTATCGAGATTCGTAATTTTAATCTATTTTTATTTTTAATTTTTTATTTATTTTATTAATTTTTTTATTATTTTATTTTATTTTATTTCAAAAGAAAAATTTAGAAAAAAACTGGAAAATGACGAAATGAGAGAAAACTTACTCGCATAAAAAATCCCGCGAGAAAACGATTGCCCCCGCGGGTGCCGAGCACTATGTGGGGGCACATGCGTGCGCAGTGGCTGTAGGACATGCACAGTGCACACATCCCCTCCACGCGCACGCACGCACAGAATGTGCGCACAACGCATACGTCCCATCTACGCGCACAGCGTAGGGTCAGGACCTGCGTGTGCGTCCTGTTGCGTGTAGGGGAGCCGTTCGCTTGTCACTTCGCGCATGGACTGGCACCGCACACAGTGCACGCATCGTCCACACAACAGACCTACACAGACAGGCCCTGTGTGCCTAGGGCTTGTGCGTAGTAGGCCTGCACATGCGGCGCCCAGTGTGTCTAGGCCCTGCACGCATAGCAGCAGGCCTGTGCACCTACAGGCTAGCCTGCAGCAAACTGGCCCGGCTCTGCCACCTTTGGCAGTTCTTCGTTGCTGCCTTGGGTAGCGCACCGCCGCCGGTGGAGGAAACTTTGATCTCTCATTTTTCGTGTCAAGAATCTCTTTCTCCTCTCTCTTCATCGAATTTCGCCACTTGGCATGAATCCAACGGTTTTAAAATTCTATAAATTACCCTCCCCCTTGCCTTTCTCTCCACACTTTCATTTTTTCAAAATTTTAGAGAGAGAGATAGTAAATTAGTGAGAGAAGAAGAGAATGAATGGAAAAATTGTAAAAAAGAAAATATCGAGGTTTCGATAAGGAATTTAGTATTACTTTTGACGTTTTAAGGAGTATGTTTAGATAATTAAATTTAATATGATAGTTATTTTGCCTGTTTTGCGTGCTTCTGTATTTAAATGAGTCGAATTGTTCTGATTTTCAAGTATGCTGTGTGATTTATGACACTTGATGAATTTGCATATAATAAATGTAATATTTAGTCCATGATAATAAAAGTAAAAAAAAAAAAGAAAAGAAAAGGAGAAAAGTAGAATGAAGCCTGTATGGTCTGAAGTGTATCTATATTGATATGCATATTGCATCAAGTGTCTCATTAGGCTTTTTATCTTTGAGGGGTATTTATTCTCCTTGCCCTTCGGGGTATCTGTTTCTCCCTCCCCTATCTGGTTTGAAAAACGTAAGAGGACCGCTCCCAATGGATGATGGTGTGCCCTCTGACGAGAGTGGTATCGCACTATCTGTAGGGATCATCCGTGGCTAAGTAATGTCGTGACTATAGACTATCTATTAGGACCATATTGTTGGTGTGGTCGTGGTCATAGATCGTACTATGGTTTGGCCAGCCAGAAGTGGATCTGAGCAGATTGTAGCATCTGTATTTGATCTAGTCATCCCATTTAGACAGTTAGAAATCTGTATTTGTATCTGCCATCAGAGATGGAAGTTTGTAACAATTTCACGAAGCATGATACGAAAAATCTGTGCATTTCATGATTTATTTGATTTTCTCTATTATTTGGCATAATATAAGTATATTTTATTTTCTGTACTTACATACTATTTTGATATTCAAATAAATATTTTTCGTAATAATGAGTTAGGTAAACGAGGAAGCTGAACAGTAAGAAAAGTAATGAACTTTTAAAATCTTACGATGTTAATTCAATATTATTTTTCTTACTGAGCATATGGAACTCACTCTTTCCATCCCCCCTAGATGAGAAAGAAAATGAGGAACCGCAGGCAGACCTACTCTTGGAAGTCTATGAGGATCCCATGGATCCACAAGTCTGAGTGCATATCTGTTTTCGCACTCTTATGAATTCCAGTAGCATAGTGAAAGAAATGACCCTTATGTTTTGTATTTTATAGCCACTTTTGGCCTCAGTGATGTATGTATTTAGAACATTATACACATATATATGTAAGGAATTTGTTAAGGTTTGATTCTACTGCATAAATATTATCATGCGCTCGTTATTCTGAATCTGTATCTGATACTCATTTGCCTTAATTTGGCACCTAGGATGTCATAAAAAGTGTGTTAGTTGGTTTTTCACTGTCAAGCAGTCTTGGGAACGGTAATAGGAGTTAACATGTCAACGGCCTTGAAAACTACAAGGATTTGATTCAAGTTTCTGGATTCATCCGCGTGAACTAGTTAACTAGATGACATACATCTTCAATGCTGCACTGATTGATACTAAGTGCCAGAACCACTCAAAAAATTATGCATTTGAGGACTTCAGCTTGTTACTTGCAGTTTCTCTTTTCGTATGACGGATCCTGTTCAAATGAGTTCAAAATAACAAATATATATAGGTGCATGATATAAATAAATACCATATCTGAAATAAAACTCAAACTAATTCGATTAGATCTCACAAATATATTGCTAGAGTTTGTTAGATCTATCAATTAGGAAAAAGAAATAAACTAGCCACTCATGGTGGATTTCAATACAAAGGAGTTCTTGAAGATTAAAGAGAAGAAAAGATATAAAAAGAGAGTGTGGAATTTGTCACCAAAGCTTTATGCGGCGTCGGGAAGAAGAATAATGATGAACCTACTTGGCACTGTGATTTTATAACCTAAGGAGGCTAGAGTTTTCTTTTTTTGTTGATTAAGATCATTTTCTTTGATTTTTGGCTTATCCCAAGCTTTACAGAATATTTTCTCCTTGATTTTCAGCCCCAAATCTTGGCTGGAATGATATCTTTTTCTATATTTAAAGAATGTACATTTTAATTTAAATATGCTACTGTGCGTGAGTCTTAACCTTGCCCAATGCTTAGTTGTCCGTCTGCTAGACCCAAGCCTTGCCCAAGGCTTGTTTTTGGGTTGATGACTCTTTTCACAAACTCTTCATTCTTTCATGCTGTTTTTTCTCGTTTCTTCCTTATATCATTTCTTGCAATAAAACATACAAAATAGATTGAATTAGATAACATACAATCAAGTTTAACAACCTAAAAATGGGTGATAATAATGTTGTTTTAAGACACTATCAATTTTTCCCACACTTATCTTGTGTTTGTCCTTAAGCACCACATAACACACACCACTAATTTTCATCTCCTCACCTCTAACCAATACCAATCATTTTGTCACAATTTGCATGTCATATCTCAACCTTCATATTGCAAAAAATAACCATCACTAGTAGTCTACAGGATGAGTTTTAGGGAATCACACTAACGAATAACCACTTTGACTAATATCCAAACACAACATGAGGAAAAATTGTAAATTTTATCATATAAAAAGTTTTATTGAGCGGAACAACTAATACCCAGCAGAACATCCACCAAACCTATCCAGAAATGAAGATTTCATGCAATTGGCCCATGCTAAAAATAGAAAATCTATTATTGGCCAATTGTTTTGTAACACTCTGCTCACCACTATGCTTAATTTGTATTTGAAAACCCCAATTATTCGAGCCTTAAAGCCACACTGAACTTATTTATTTTATTCCACAGCTTATTATCATAATTCGTAAATTATGCCACTTTTTATTATTTAATTT